ACTCACTGTTAGAAAAAAAACAACAACACAAAACAGTCTAATGATGTGAAGAAATGAGAACAATTATAATTATTATGTAATAAGCCATATGTATTACTTTTAATATTAAAAAAAAACATAGTCACTCACCTTTAACGCACCTGAATACCATCAACTGAATCATCAGTTCACACGCATACAGATACACACATTAGCTAAGAGGGCATAAAATGATTAACATGTAATGACGAATTTTTCTCATGAAAACGACTGAGTTGTAAGGTTCAATTTTTCATCTCGTTATTTATTAAATGACATCAGCAAAGGGTCTAAAGGTGTGCTACAACATCAATGTGTTCCTCAAGTATTTGTTTAACAAGTAGGGCCTGGATGCCTATTGGTTCAATAAACCTTAAGACTCATCCAAGTTTAATTCTAATACTGTTTGCATACGACAGGTAAGTCAGGTAAGTCGGAACTGTGTGTCACGAACAAGGATGTTCAAACTCAAAACAAAGACCATGGTCGTATGTTGTAGATCGATCTAAATTATTGGCGTTGGCCTAGTTAGCGACCAGGGAGACCAGGGGGGGGGGGAGAGAGTCAGGGTACTTTAGAGAAATAGTCTCTAAGGACTTGGTTGCAATGAAAAGTGATTATTAAAAAAAGTAACAAATAAACATTGTTATCATTGAAACATGTTATATGTAATATATTTTGATTACTTCATTAATATTTTTACTTTCAGTCAGTTCTTTTTTTTATTTTTATAAGTTCTCTAATTCTCTTTGTTAATAAGAAAAAAAACCCAACATTTTTACCCTTCCAATAAGAGTATGACTTATTCAAAAATACCTTATGAGTGCAGGATATAGTTAGACTGGGGACACCCTGCCCCTAGACCATAGCCATCAACACATGAATGCTTCGAAGTATGAAGTAAAGTGCACGTTAATGTAACTAAACTCGTATTGACGCTATATGTCACAGACGACTTAACGTTGAAGAGGCCGCATCAACACATTAACGGCTGCAATCAGATAAAATGTCGATATTTGCAAAACAGAAAGAAAAAAAAAAACTTTTACACTTCCTTGTTCAAGCTTCCTGTAATTTCACAATAATATAAAAAAAGTAAAAAAATATTGTAGATAGAACATGTTGAACTATTTAAACTCTTCATGAAACGTGGCTGTGCAAAGTTGCTTGACGAAGGTTATCGTCACCTTGTTCCCAGTGTTAATATTAAATTATAATTCGTTCATTTGTATATTGGATTTAAAAAAAGGGTATTATTAAAAAAAAATATAAACGACCACCCCCTACCCCCCCCCCCCCCCAACACAACCCCCCCCCCCCACCCAACAAAAATATTGTAAGTACCCAGTAGCAACAGTTTCATATTGGTCATTGCCATACATTGCAAGATATACCGACAAGCTTGAGAAAGGTCGAGCTATGAAAAATATAAGTCCTCAGAGATTGCATTCCTGCCACTATTAGTTCAAGTTCAAGCTGCAATATCTAGCTGTTTATTAGAAAGATGGCTCACCAGCCAATAATCATTCAATATTGTAATAACGTATTATGTTGCTAATCGTTAGGCGTCCTTGTTTGCATTGAGAAACTCGTGCATGAACTCTGGGTGACCCCAAGTGTGTTGACGCAACCGGGTGGGACAGATAGTCTCCATTGACCTTGAGATTCAAAGTAAATACAGTCTATAGTCTGTAGGACTAGAATTCTTTGGAACGTACGATACTAACCGAGATCTGGAGACCATACAGAACCCCTTTTTCTGGAAAAGTCTCTGAAAACGACAGTACATACGACATAGGAGAAGAGGAGGTGATAGAGTTTTGCTATGACGATACGCGACAAATGTTTTGAGTGTTAACATTAACTCTCTCTCTGTGTGGGAAAATCTTTCAACATTGTACCGGTACAAAGTTATTACTATACTGCAAGTCAATAGCCTTAGTTTTTTAATCTATTTGATTTTTCTATTGTAAAGTTAACTCAAAAAAATTATTATTTTTAATTATCCCTAAATTGGGTATCGTTTCTTTCTTACTGTATTTAGTTAAGGGTATCGTCCCTTGTTATGTAATGTTTGACATGAGCCATACAGTAAAATAAGAAATTAGATTCTCTACATTAATGCGGTAATTTTCTAAGCTACATGTAGTTGTTTTTTTTACCATGATGTGACGAACATTTCTTTAGTCAGAGGTCTCAAAAACCAAAAAGTGGTTGTTATGTTTCAGGAGGGGGCTCACCAAATTGAAGGTCTTTAAAAATAAATTACAGCCTAGAGCAAGTAGAGGCAAATATGTACAGTCATCACCATAAATATTAAGCTGACGGCGCATAACCAGGGCATCGGTCTATGTAAGTAAGTTAACAAAAGACTTTTCTGTCTTTAAAAAAATCACTTACTTTTTAAGTAAATAAATAAGCCATTAACATATTCTGCAGTGCAACAATTGGGAAGCCTACTGCACTTCTGTAGTGTCTGCTTGTGAGTCACTTCTTGTCAAACACTGGTTAAATAGTAAGCAAGTTACATCGCTAAAAGAACGCTGCATTCGCTTGAAGAATTATATGAAGCATTATGCAATGTAAAACAAAGCAAAAATTAAATAAAAATAAAACTAAAAGAACGAAATAAATCGCTTGATTCATAACACCCTCTTCATCACAGATAAGTAAGATCGGCCCGATCAGGGCAAAAAACTCTATGTCAAAGTTAGAACCAAAAGATGCATAAATCATTTGTTACCCGATGGATACGAATTTACCAGTGAGTTCCCCTTGTTGTGAAAACTATCTTAATAATCTTAAGGCTAAAACTGTCTCTAACTGAATGACGTTCGATGGCATAAGACGGTTGATTTTCACTCGAGAAAAACTTTTAGATGTCCTGTGCTAATTTGTTTTAGTTGAAAATGTTTATCTTTGTTAGAATGAAAACATTGTGTTAAAATGGATTATGCACACTGTAATAGCAAAAAGTTTCCATTAATTTGACTCAATAAAAGAAGTCTTAAGACAGCTTAAGACCACCTCCTAAATACAGTAGATAGGCAAGTAAGGACTGCGTGTCATGATCTTGATGGCTATATTTAAAGCAAACAGAATGGAAATGTAATCCACTAACTTCCATGCACCTTGCATAACCTAACCCAGTCAAGACGCTATATGTTGCACAGCTTAAATTTATTTCAATCATCTACAAGATGTTTTTTTTTTGTTTGTGCGAATTAATAGATGACGTCAAATTTGTGCCATCTTGTATTGGAATTTTTCCAAACATTTACACAGATTTGATTTTGGTGATCGCATATGAACGAAAGATACTCTTAAAAAAACAAGAATCTTGCGAAAAGTTTAAGTTTGAGTTATTCTGTTAAATAAATTGATTTTGAGACAGGACCGATTGTCTTTAAGTCTTGTGGTGCTGTGTTCTGGTTCTGGTTATGGTAGTGTTCGTTTGCTGCATTCATATACGGGCATCTGTGCACTGGTTTAAGAAGCGATGTTGCTATTCTAACAGCCCCTAGCAGATGCCAGAGCAGCCTTGAAGCTTTCGAACGATTTCGAGTTCACAGTGGCATTGTCCAGGTGGTTCGAAGCAATAATTGTGCGTGGGAAGAAAGATTGTTTACACTGCACTGTGTTACACCGAGGCATTGTGAAGCACTCTCTATTGTTTAGCGTGTAATTGTTGATGAGATTATCAGTGTTTAAGTCAGTATTTAGTGAGCGTTTTGCGCTGATCAGTCTACCCGGCTTCTGTGGGGTGAGGTACGTGTCTGCTGGGATGGCCGGCACCAGTCCCATGATAACTGTATCATGTATATAAGAATTTGATTTGATTCGTGTTGTAGTGGCTCATTTAATGGATCGTGCCTTTAACAGCTCAAATATCACAATAATGATTTGTTTCGTATTTAATATTTACTAAAAGTTTGATTTTCTAATGTGGTGCGCAGAAGGACAGGAAGAGAGATTGTTGAAGAATTCGAATATTAAAGATGGCGGGTTTGCTCTTGTATTGATTCAAGTATATATCATATAGCGTCTTACAAACTGAGTGGATTATAATGTATATTGAGTGTGTAAGATCATGGCAATTATATTACTCCAACTTGGAGAATTTATTTCTCATTTGTGAATCGAACTGTGTAAAATAAAGTACACAATGATGCAACCATATCGAATCTGTCTCATGCTTTCATAGAAGTAATTATCGTAATAATTAGAGAGCACCAAGTCACGACTACAACTCTGGAAATACAAATACATGAATTGTAGGCAACGTAAGAACCAGTGTTCAACATCTATAATCAAAGACGTCACAGTGACTAAAACTCTAGAGTAACTAAACGTCATAATTGTAAATTGTTTTCTGTTTTATTTAGATTAAAGTTGATAAAATGGCATATCCTGTATATTGTCCATCTATTTCTTCAATAGCGAAAAAAAGGCAATTAATTTAAAATGGCCGCCACCCACCTACACACTTATATAAATGCCATCTCGTTTTCCCCCTCAGAGTATAAATAGTATGAAAGTAGTAAATCATGTCCATTTACAACCTTATGCACTTTAATCTAAAACAATTCATTTCCACTGTGCTATTGATTACATTAAAATGTAAAAAAAAAAATCAATCCTTGAATATCTTTAATTTATGATACAACTTATATTCATTTGAAACACAAAGGAACAGAACAAATATTCAGTAGTTAGCAGTTTTATTAATTATTCTCTTATTTAATGTATTTGAAACCTTACGTACACGTTAGCTAGTGTCCAGCTATTTATGGGTCTTACATTTAATTAACATATAAAGGTAATTACAATAAACATGGTTATAATAATAATAAGCATATAAATAAACAGAAATAATTCATGATATAACCATATTCATTCAAATTTAAAATGACTTAAAATCATATAAAATCGTATATATTTAATTTATACGCAAGCAATCATATTTTTCGTGAAGAGAAAGTGATTGTGGGTATTAATTTATGTCTTAATATAGAAATTCAACTGATTGATTAAATGCAGAATGGATATTTATTTCATAGGTTAGAATGCAAATACAAAAGCTAGCAACTTAAAATATGTACAATTTGGATAGAGTCAAAGCAGTCAAAGGTGAATGTTAATGTTGGTGGTTTGAAGATGGAGCTTTTAAAATGTCATTTTCATATATGTGTTAAGTTAAATAATTGCATCGCTAATGAAGTATAATTTATTAATAGCACCTCCAAATGGTATTAATTTATAAATAGCATCGTCAAATGAACTGTTAATTTATAAAAGAGCATCTTGAAATGATGTGTTAAAATTCGAGATGACATGATGTGAAGTAACTTACTGCTTATAAAAACAACTTTTGTTTGTTTGTTTGGATAAAGAGAAAGAAAGAGAGAGAGAGAGAGAGAGAGAGAGAGAGAGAGAGAGAGAGAGAGAGAGAGAGAGAGAGAAAGAGAGAATTATATACAGAGAGAATTATATTCGAGGACTATGGTAAAGAGAAGAACACAATTTTGATTGTCAACATTTAAACTCACGAAATGAGAACTAATTAATAGGTTAGAAAATCCAACTTACAAACTGAACATATATTGATTAAAGATAATGTTTTCTAAAAGTCTTAAACACTATTCCGTTGCAAGATCATATTCAGATGCAATTATTAGTACATCCTCAACTTTGGTATCTGAATTGCTCTTGAGTTGAGACATCTCATCACTATTGATCAACGAGCTGGCAATGCAATAATCTGGAGATTTGTTTGCTGTTTTCTCACAGTAAGAAAGTGTTTTGTTTTCCATGGGATATGCTTGTATTGCTGACAACGTCGAGTCTGATACACAGTTGTACGGATTTGTTAATTCCCTTATCTGATCCCCCAATATAGCGTAATCTTGTGTCTGTGTGTTCGGTGTTGTTTCAAAATTGGCAACCTCTGATCTGTTAGGTGATACCAAGTCGTTTGCGTTCAAGACGAGTTGGTAATTCAATGTTGTGATATTGTGATCCTGTCTTGTCCTACCAAGGTTTGAGTATGTGGCGTCTCCAGAAATTTGAATCGTTTCATTTTGATGAGGCTTAAGAGATTTACAATCATGTATATCATGATCATGACTAGAATATGGGCTATTTGAAGAAGTCGCATTGTTTGAGACTGCAGCAAGACTGTATATTCCATCCGATTGGACGATGTCAGCATATTGAATGGGCTTGGAATAGGGATCACCTTGTTTGTTTTCTAGTGGAACATGTTTTCCCTTTGAATTTTCCTGTGGGCTATTTTCAGAAAGAATTCCTGGATCAAGTTCGTAATACTGATATTTTGATTCATAATCTTGGCCTTTGTTACCGCAAGCCAAATTTGAATATGATAATTCAACTGTTCCAGGAGACGTCTCTTCTAAAGAACCAGTGGCGCTGTGTTTCATACTTGACCCAGTATGTGTGACCTGTTTTTGTCGCCATCTCATAAGTACAAATACGCCAACAAGAAGGGCAAGAAATAGGATGACACCAACTATCACGCTGACGATGGTACCTGTATTTCTGGCTATAGTGTCGCTGCTATCATTCAGACTACCGTTGGCATTTGGTGTTACGGTATTGTCAAGAAGTACCGTAGTTCCGTTAACTATATTGGGGAGAACTGATGTTGTCGTAGCTCTTGTAATTGATATATGTGTGCTGGTTGATTTTGAGGTTGTCCTCGAAGTTGATTTTGAAGTTGTTCTTGAAGTTGTTCTTGAAGTTGTTCTTGAAGTTGTTCTTGAATTTGTTCTTGAAGTTGTTCTTGAAGTTGTTCTTGAAGTTGTTCTTGAAGTTGTTCTTGAAGTTGTTCTTGAAGTTGTTCTTGAAGGTGTTCTTGAAGTTGGTTTTGAAGTTCTTCGTTTAGCGTCCGAACTTGAAATTCGCATTACTAAAATGATAATCACAAAAGTGGCCCATTTCAAATGACAAATCTTCATTTTGTGCTGATCTTCCCAAAATTTCTGCCAAAAAAAATATAAAGAATCATCTCAAGTTACATCATTAAAGTCAATTTAATTTATTTTCACTCAAACTTTTTACCTTGACGTACATTACTTATAAATCTAGACTCTAGACTAAAGTTTACCAATTGGGGTGAAAGGAAAGAAATTGTTTTAAGAACGTATTATAACGTTTAAATCATAATGTATAAGTTTACAAATTTTTCGATTACTTTAAACCCCCTAGACTTAATAATTCACAAGTGTATTTTCTTAGATATAAAACCAACAAAATATATATCGCACCATTTCTTTCCAATATTTGCATAATGCATTGACGCTTTTTTCTAAACTCTTTGAGACTACTTCAACGATCCGCAAAGATGGCAGCATATAGAAACATGTTTGGCCTCCATGTCGGGACACACATGTTTTGAGAATGGACGAAAGTGTGGCGATATTGGGTAAGCCCACATATTAAAAAATAAAATCAAACCAGCAATAAAAAAGGTGTAACCTGCAAATTCCAGTAAAATTATAAATCCCCCACTAGATGTTATTGCGGTCGATCAGCCTATAAATGAACAGGAATATCAAATTTCGCATTTAAAGTTGAGTAAATATTCAATTATATAGCTTATGTCTCCAATTTATCATTTATTTTGTTGTGGGTTCTCATTTGTTTACAACTGGGTCCATCAATGACTACATTTTTATGAGCTCAGTTTAAATCTGTATCACATTAGTAGCTAATTCATTTCCGAATACTTTGCTCTGAGTTTCATGAAACTAAAAACAACAACATTTTTTGAGATAAAACTGTTTCTAAAAGGCAGCGGGTGACGCCCAGTCACATTATCTCATCATTTAGATATATATAAGTTGAATTATACCATTTGTAAATGGCAAATAAAAGGTTCTCAAGGACGCTCCAGTCTCAACCATGACAATGCTCATCAATAATGAAATCAAGAAACATCGTGTCATGTGCACAGTAATGGTTTCTTTGCAATTCTTTGTGAAGACAAGGGTCACAGACGTCTAAGGAGCCTACTGAAAAAATGCTAACCTAAAAATTTGAAGGTTGCATTTAAAAGCGACATCGATATTTTTAAATAGCAAACAGCGTGTTTACATAATTAATTCATTGTGCAGCCGTTCATTAAAAGATCATATAAAACCAGTGGCGTAGCTGGGTTTGATGTCACACGGTGCGGTAAACTTATGGTGTCACACACTTCCACAGTATATCTATGGGAAGAACAACAAAAAATTTGAAGGTCAGGAGGTAAATGTGTTTAAGAACTTTATCAACTCTGAGTTATAGTTATGTTTATATAAAATTTACTTTATTTTACTTTATTTTAAATTTTCATTTCCTGGTCTTCAAAGCCGCAAAACTTTCAATCACTTGATCAATAACCTTCACCGTATTACTTTCAGTTGATAGTTGAGAAGATTGACTGTCTCAAAGTGTATCCAAAAAAAAATTCTTGATAAGTCTTAGTTTTGGAAAGCTCTGCTCACATCAATCCATATATACACAGTTCGTAAGAAAAAATTGAAGGCTTAGCGCGAGTTTTGGAAGAGATTCTATTAAGTCCAATTCAGCTATAAACTTCAAAACATCAACTTTTGACCACTCCATGACTTTGTGAATATCAATCTCATTTGCCTTTAGGTGTCTTCTAAGCATTGTTATTTCTTTTAAAAGTTCATCCTCTGATAACTCATCATAGACAGAGGTTAATTTTGAAACGGATAACAATATATCTTCTATTTTTATGTTGATAGTAGAGTATTGAGTTGAACATCCCCAAAAATATCTGCAACACCCTGGATCGCTGATGATTTGATTTAGGTTTCACAATGAAATCATCTCTTTAATGTTTTCTTCTCGCAGAGAGAGAGAGAGAGAGTCCCGCATCTATTAATTATTCTCCTGCCATTCTTAAACTTAAATGTTCTCTCTACCAAAATTCCATATCTGTCTCATTTTAAAAGTGCCTTTCAATAGCATGTTCCACCAGCACCTGTGCTTCTCTGGAAGAAACAATCTTAAGACCTCTAGGTTGATCCCCACTTTGCCACAAGTAAGCCTTTGGTATACATATACTGCAGAGTTGGAGTAATTTCTTCAAGTAGATCAGCGCAAAGTTAAAGCTAGCAGAGCAACGTGAAATCACAGATATCATGTAAAAGACATAGTGCTGTATGAAAATCTTGCCCAAATGTTAAGTTTGGGGGGGGGGGGCTATTGACGAATCGGCAAAAATAATAATTTTTGAATATTTCTGGACTTCTATATAATTCGTTTCAAAAACACTTTGCATAAATATTTAAATAAATTTAAATTAATTACTAAAAGTTATTATTGGGGGGGGGGGGTTGCTATTGACGAATCGGCAAAAATAATAATTTTTGAATATTTCTGGACTTCTATATAATTCGTTTCAAAAACACTTTGCATAAATATTTAAATAAATTTAAATTAATTACTAAAAGTTATTAGAAATTTTTTAAAATATTATATTTTTTTTACCGATTTAATTCATGTACAAAGAATCTCCCGACCACGACGTAGTTGGTATCAATCGACATCTTAATTTCTCAGAATTAAGATATATATAGATCCTTGTCACTTTCCAAAGCTACTGAACACTTCAATCGGCTTTGAATCATTGTCAAAATGTTTTTTTTTTTGTTGACCTAATTAAAGGGTCACCTCATTTCTGACGCATCAACCTTTAACTTTAATAAATCAAGCCTTTGGATTGGTTACGTCTGTGGAAAAAGTTAGTGTGTTTGGTCATCCTTTTATGAAATTTGGTAGTGTGGGTTGGTGTCACCCGGTGCGTTCCACATCCCCCGCACACCCAAGTTACGCCACTGTATAAAAAAAAATAGTTTTAAAAATATCTTAAAAAATTATGGAATAGTTTGAAACATTAAAACACTCCTTGACTGCAGAAAAAGAGATATATTTTCCCTTTTAGTATAGGACAAGTGTGTGAAAGGTTGGGGCGGTAAATATTTTGAAATTGTTTGGAAGACCTGCTCTACTGAATGATATCTTGATACGAAGGTGACAGGCGGGAGGTTTCATTAACATAACACAACATAACGGTCCAAAGAATTCTCTGCTTGTCCTGAGCCTACGTCGTAAGAATGTTTTAAACACCTGGATCCAACATTCTGTGCAACCTTTACATCGGCCGTAATTAAACTTCCCTCATTGTCTCATTGCCAGACAGATGGTGCAACAAAGAGGTGTACTAATGTCCACCACGGCCTGGTCATCCGTATGTCACGATATACCTTAAAACAGATCACTCTGCATCAAATGATACGGAACAGTAGTATATGCTTCCTGTTGGGCCCTAATAACCTTTTGATTTTCTTCAACAATCATAACATCGAAACTTTTCATCAAACAGTTACGACTGTTTTAGCACTATTCACCCGCTATACCATGCACCTGTTGATAGTATGCAGAGTTTAGAAATTGTTTGGTATTTAAGACAACACTTCGATGGATCTTGTTTAAAGAAAAATTGTGTAATTTCAATACTTTTCACTAGATAAACACATCTTCATGCCAATGTTGTAACAAACTAAGCACTCAATTTAGACGCCTGTTGTTAAAAAAAGCCTTTGAAAAATCTAAATCCTTATTTTGGAAATGCTTTTCATAACACCCGCAAGCACAAAAGCACATTATCGTATAGGCCAACTATTGCGCTGACTGCAATCAAATGTGATTACAAATACAATAGACACATCATGTTGGTAAAGAAGAAATAAATAATTATATACGGTTCGTGTTTTAAAAAATAAGATATAAGAAGTATTGGCATTGGGGTCCACAAACGATTCACTTGCTACCAAAGTGGCCGTGGACCTGGAGGCTTTTGGCTTGGCCAGACCTCGTCTTAAATCATTGTATAAGAATAACCGAATTTCACACTTTGTCTTTATGCTATACTTTAAAAGATACACTCTTAAATGACAAACAATTGTAATTCGTACATTAAGCTTTTTTTTTTTTTTAGTAAATCACAATATAAACCAGGTTATTAAGCAAAATCCGTTTTCTTACTTATGCGTTACAGCTGTGATAGACGTCTGACTTCGTATGTTTTCATAACTAAACTTAGAAATAAACGGAAATTGTCTACGCATTGAAGGATTGCAGCTATATCAACCAGGATGTCATATGCAACAATACATTCATTAGCCCAAAGGATACAACCTTTTTAGTTGTGACCCCTTCAAATGCAACCAAAAAAAAAAAAAAATCTATTTAATAGAGTAAACGAAACGAGCAGTGATTTTTTTTTGCAGGTTAAACTCTATTGCTAAAAAATGCACGGATAATGCCATAATTAATATTTAATCTGTATTTTTTAAATATTTATTTCAGATGAAGAAACCCAACAAAATTGACGTGGATGAAATTATATCGACAATTATGGGAGCATTGTGTTCCACTTTAAAGTTTAAGAAACCAATGTGAGATGAAAAGAGCTTTAAATATTCCATTTGTTTCGTATGCTGTTGCGACCAGGAACACAACAAAGTACGTTTCGTGACCCCCCATGGTTTTGGAACCCGTGCCTTAGACGGCCTTCTCTTTATATCGAATAACATGTGATGGCACGTGGTTGAATAAATTAACCTACAACTATGTGAAGCATATTGCGTTGTATTGGCAGCTCAACAACACGTGTTAAATAATCGTTTTGTTGCATGCTGTAGACACGGTGTCCGACCTTTAAATACTTAACATGGAAAAGGTAGTAGTTATATTAAATATGCAAAGTACAGACACGACTGGGGATGTTGACGTCTTAAGACAGTTCCGTCATAGAGTTTGTTTCTTCTTTAAACTGATTCACTATATTTATAGAGATTTTTCAAAGGGGTGTGCTAAGAAAATATGCATTTATAGAATTTATTAAATGGAGTTGATTCAAGTTATGGGAAAGGGTCCGATTCAAGGTTGTTTGAATAAAATGCGTAGTGGCTGTTTAGGGGGACATGGTGGTTGTTTAAGGGGCATGGTGTTTTATGGGGGCATGTTTTTATAAGGGGCATGGTGTTTTATAAGGGCATGGTGTTTTATAGGATAATGGTGTTTATGTTGAGGCATGGAGGTTTTATTGGAGTTATGGTGGTTTTATAGGAGGTTACGGGGTTTTTTGATGTGCATAGTAGTAATAGAATATATGTCATTAGACTTAAGTAGCCTTGATTTCCGAATCCATGTTTATTGTATGCGTTTCTTAAACAGATTTTATTTTTCATCAAGTCAAAAAGAGGAACACAAAATAAATACTGGAAGATGCGGACTAGATTTTCTCTTATCCAGCTTTTCATTGATTATGAAGTACACACATTATAGTAGCTATTCTATTAACTGGCTTTTCATTGACTATGAAGTACACACAAATTAATAGCTATTTCTTAACCGGCTTTTCACTGCATAAATTATGATAATTTAAAAAAAAATCACACTACTTGACCAACTGGTAAAAAAAAAAGATTTGTGTAAAACGGAGGTTGAAGTCGAAACAAAAATATAGTCGCCAGCTTCACTGTTCAAGACTAACACCTTTGTCCGGTGTACAGTGACCTTACTTATTTTCTGCTGCTATACTCGGACATGACAAGACGCCTCAGCTTACACGATTCAGTTTTATATTTTAACCATCTTTCATGGGTTTGAGAAAAGAAATACTTAATAACGGAGTTGGGCTTATAATTTAAACACCCTGTCACTATTAAATAAGAAGAAAAATATTTGTGTCATACGTTTGTAAGGAGCTCTGGCTGACATCTCCGTTGACAAAAATGAATAAACTACCTACATGAGCGTTGACACAATGATTCCCGTCGATCCAATGATAAAATGGCTTACATGAGCATTGACTAAATGTCAGCAACTATGCTTACTTGCGTTATTTTAACTAGAACTAATACAAATCTTTGTCAAAATGATTAATTATGGTATTTTAATACATATAATAGTATTTCTGTGACTTCCGTATCGGAAAGGTTGAGACAATCTGGAAAAATTGCTTCAAACAGTTAGAAAAAGCATTTTCACCCCATCTAAATGTTTTCCGTTGATGAAAATATCATTCATGTTTAATTTGTTTGTCTCGAGAATATTACACATAAGAGAGTATATCTTCAAGTAGTTTTTTAATACAATGAATACAGTAAAGACGATTTTAAAATAATAATAAAAATACTTCGAATATATGAAAATTTAAAAATAAAATTTCAAGCAAGAAATTTTGATAACTTTATCAATACTTTGGAAACAAATGAAAACCTTTATTTGATAACGAGATGTCCTTTTCCTTAGTTATTGATTTAATATGTACGTAAAACATACGTTGAACTCGGTGTTTCATTGATTTATTTTCTTTTAAAAATTTGGGCTTTAAGCCAACAGTTTTATAGTTAATATCATTTTTTTTTAAAGGAGACACTGGAGTCAGAAAATAAGTTGTTAAGTTAAGCAATAATTACTAGGAATAATTTTGATTACACCCATTATAAACCAAAATCAGTTCAGCGCTGAATTGATTTAATAAAATAAAAAAGGCATATATAATTGATTAGTCGTCACCACGCGTTGCATGGATACTTTAACCAAAGCAAGGTAGCATTCTGTCAAGCAGTCGGTAAATGTGTTGTATCACTATTTACATTGCAATGGTTCCAAAAAAACTTCCAAAGACTCAACTGATGATAGACAATTAATCTCGTTCCGTGTAAGGCAGATTTTGAGTTGACGCTCGCCTTGCCTCTCTATCGTAATCTATTCTACAAGGTTGTTGTTTGATCAGCATTGTTCGTTTCTGCCCCATGTCAATGTTGCTCTTTGTTGAGGTCTATTATAGTTCGACCGTTATTTTTAGAAAAATGTTGTTGCTTTGGGATCAGAAACCGTGGGATGATTGGACGAAAAATTGTTGATCTGGGGGAATTTTGTGTGGCTTATTTTCTTCATTCGTCTTCTCAAAAGAAATACAACGACCAAGGCAATGACAATTGCTGCAACAATAGCAGTTGTAGCACCAGTTATTAAGCCGATATCTGTCATTTGGTCTTGGATATCCCCTCCGTCACGAAGTTCAGGTGTATTTTCACCTGAGTGGTTATACCCTGAAAGTTCTTTTGAGCTTGCAACAGTAGAAAAAAGCGCCGTTGTAATTGTTGAACTTGCTGTTGAATGTTCATTTCTAGTGGTTGGTGGTTGGGTAGTCAACATTTCTGTGGTCTTAATAATGCCAGAAATCAAGGGACAAGTCGCTAGGGAATCGAAATAGCTCATTATGTTATTATTTTCAATGGATATTCTATCGATATTAGTTAAAATTAGACCCACGCACATAAAAGGACACGCTTTGGCTTCGCCTGTAAATTGAAAAGCTTTAGTGGCGTTGTCAGATCCAGCCGATGTTCTGTTACATCTAAAAGTATTTGAATGAAATTCGAGCTTGCACGTGAATAAAGGTACAGCTGTGGCTTGCTCATCTGATGTTCGTGGACCTATTTGATTTGCTTGATCGTATCCGTGATGATATGAAGAGTGCGCATGGCACTCTGTTGTTGACGCTGAGCACAGACAGTCTCTAAAGCTGAGATGAAACATACAGCAAAAAAGTTACTGTTAGTGTTGATTGAAATATATAACATAAATATATTCGTTTTAAAGCGATCTTTTTTTATTTAATAACAAGAAGCATTTTAAATTACATGCCAATTATATATATAAATATATATATATATATATATATTATATATATTTATATATATATATTTATGGCAGTTGCAGTTTGTGAGCTTCCAATATACTTTATTCACCTGACAAAACGTGCATTCAAATAACGCACTTTCTAAAAAAATCCCAATAAGAGCTAACTAAAATGGGATTTTCTTGTGCGCGCCTATTGAACACGGCACTACACCCATACATACACGCATAGGATTTTTTTTAACGGAATCAAATTTTTAATAAAAATATAACACTTCTCATACTCTTTTAGAGTTTGTCATTATCCACCATCTTATTTTAACAATTCCTTAGATTGATTAAATGCATCCCTGAGATTATTTTTCTCAGGATAAGACACTACATAGAACGTTTGGATGGTTGAACGAATGAAGAAATTCATCGTGTTTTTGTTAACGAATTTTGTATTTTCATTGTATTTGTGTACTTTTCTTAGGCTCATCAATTCTTTAGTTTATAAAGAGACTTCAATATTGTCCAATATGACACCAATGATAGATTTCCGTAAAAACACTGCCAACCCCAACAGTCTTTCCCTGAGATTAAAACCCACAAGCTCTTTACTGAGATGCCTAATCCGTAAGTCCGTCACTGAGATACCAAGCACACACGTTGTTCCCTGAGAAACCAACCCCCACAAGTCATTCGCTAATATACTAACCCCCAATTCCTTAATTAAGATAACAACCCCACAAATATTTCACTGAGTTACCAAATGTGACTTTTGAATTTTTTGGTGACAATGTTGTAGATGGCAGCATTTAAAGTTTCATAATCACTGAGTTTTTGGAAGAAACTTCGATCATTATTTGGAAGGGTGCCGTAAACAATGCGTCTATGTAGACCTTAGTTATGACGATACATATTTCATGAAAAAATCTATTTTCTCATGCAGTGAGTTTGAATGGTCTAAGGAAAATTAATATTTTAAAGTGTATAATGCTTTAGCCAGCCACTTGCATAGTGAAGAGCTCGAATGGAAGAGCTAATCTTACAGATATATGGGCTAACTATAAAAATTCCTTCTAACCATCTCTGAGTTGAGCAGCTTGAAGTTGCCCTATATCAAATTCCGTGAATCTTTCATTAGATGCACCACTTTCGAAACACGATTGATAAGACTTCGATTGAAAATTCGGACATTCCTAAAATATACTCGTAAAGATATACCCTTTTTAAATAATAAAAGAAAGTCTTTCAATGTTTAAACCAAGCTTGAATGTGATCTTTGCTTTTATAATGTTAAACACTTCATTAAATATGTTTTAATGCGTGCTGTCCCTACATTGGCTTTCTAAAAAAAAAAAAAATCACTAGGGACAAAACCCTAGGTGTGTATGTATGGGTATAGTGCCGTGTTCAATAGGCGCTCACAAGAAATTCACATTTTAGTTAGCTCTTATTGGGATTTTTTTTGAAAGAGCGTTATTTGAATGCACGTTTTGTCAGGTGACTGAAGTATATTGGAAGTTCACAAACTGCAGCCGCCATTGTTTGGCTGGCTATTTATAGTTATAGAATTAAAATACAAAAAAAAAACGTACTTGGTTAACATATTCTTCGAGAACCAAAGCATCCAAGGACTACACTGATGAAACCCCCAAAGATTTTGACAGTTGTATTGGAAAGTGACGCTGTAATACGACACAGTAACTTGAATACCAAGAACCATGCACACGAGCAATGTCCCTTGTACAACGCTATGATTCATTTCTTGTATTTCTCTATAACAACTTCTCTAAAAGAAGAATTATGGCTGAAAATATAAATCATACCTAAACTGTTTCACTTGTAGTGCATTTGGTTTAGAATTTCAAGTTAACTTTAAACATTGTAAAAACACATGATGCAGATAAAAAGTGTTTAACCGTACACAAATTTACGCTATCGAAAAACAGAAGAAAAAAAATTATTTCAAAACACAAATCGTAATGCAAACATTTTTACTGTTTATAAGTTAAGCGTGTATAAACCATCGTTTTTACTTCTAAAATAAATTTACCATCCTTTAACATTGACTTAAAAAATAGAAGCACTCAAAACAAAATGATGAACAGCAAATATTATATACAGCAACAAAAATGACTTTTATTAAACATTATTTACATTGATTGTTAAAAAAAAAATAATACTTAAATTAAATTGTGAATATAGTGAATAATAATCAAAGTGTAATCCACAAATTATTAACTATAACATTTGTAGTTAATGTATGTATTTATGTTACATAAAAATTAATTTAACGGAATCAAATTTTAAACAATATTGCATAAACTACGACTAGATTTGAAGAAACCCGCTTACATTTCTTATAAAACCAATGAGCTTGTCTTTCCTTCAACACCAGACCTACATTTAGAGTGCCTTAGATCAAGTTGTTTTTAAAGACTGAGACACTTCCTGTCAATAGTTAACAGTTTAAAGGATCACACAAGCGCACCTGCACCTCGGGTAAATGAAAAATTTTCCACACTGACTTAACCGGACCTAAAAAAACAAATAATCAGGATAAACATAGGGTAAACTTATCAAAATAACGAGCTGTTTTTTTTTTTTGGTTGGATTGTAGTTACTCTGGCTTTACAACGGTATATACCGAATTGATGAGTGTTACTTAGGGAAAAAAAACAATGATCGTAATCTAGTAAATATGAATAACTGTGTCAAACAGAATAAAAATTACAGTCTTTTTAACTGAGAATAAATGATTTTTTACAGGTTATGTAATGTGAGTGGAACAGTTAAAACATTTTGAAAGTTATTTTGATGGTTTGAATAATCGTAAAAAAAACAATGATAATATTCCACGACCTCGAAATGTGAATATAGGAAATAGTTAATCTTACTCTCCATATCTTTTAAAAACAAGTATCTTTGCAGCGGCGTAGCTAGGGTCGGGGTCACTCTGCGCAGTAAACTAAAGGTGTCACCCCCCCCCCTCATTTCACCTGCCACGATCGATTTCTTTTTAAAAAAATAAGTCCACAGTATATAATTGACAAGAACAAATACAAATTAATTAAAGTTTAAACATTTTGAAAGTTATTTTGATGGTTTGAATAATAGTAAAAAAAACAATGATAATATTCCACGACCTCGAAATGTGAATATAGGAAATAGTTAATCTTACTCCCCATATCTTTTAAAAACAAGTATCTTTGCAGCGGCGTAGCTAGGGTCGGGGTCACTCTGCGCAGTAAACTAAAGGTGTCACCCCCCCCCCCTCATTTCACCTGCCACGATCGATTTCTTTTTAAAAAAATAAGTCCACAGTATATAATTGACAAGAACAAATACAAATTAATTAAAGTTCAGGAGGTAAATGTATTTAAGGACTGTAAAAATGTCAAGTTGTAGTTATTTTGTAGATTAAATTTCCATTATTAAAAAAGTTCCTTTCCTGGTCTTTAAATCTGCTATCCTGTCAATCACTTTATCAAAATCAATATTCTCCACCATTTCACTTTTAATTTATAATAGAGCCAGATAAAAAATACTTTGATATTCCATGGTGGATAGTAAATAGTTCTTGATAAGTCTTAGTTTTGAAAAGCTTCCCTCACGTGAAGCCACAGACACACAGATCGTATGAAACAATTGAAGGCTTGGCGAGATTGTTGGAAGAGATTCTAAGAAGTCTCATTCAGCTATAGCTTTCAAAACATGAAATAAAGACAAGTTTATGAATTGTGAAATTCAATATCAACTGTCTTTAGGTGTCTTCTAAGCCGTGGTATTTCGTTTAAAAGTTCTTCTTCTGATAACTCCTCATGAAAAGAGGGTAATTTTGGATTGGACACCAAAAACTCTTCTTCACTTGCTGATAATAAACTCTTGGGTTGAACATCCCAAAACATATTTTCTAATTCAATTACTTGATCGCTGATGATCGTATCAAGGATCAGATTGAAGGCGATCAATACACTCCAAAATCTCTTACTGTATTCTTCTCGCAGGGAGAGTCCAGTATCTATTAATTGTTCTCTTGCCATTCACTTCTTAAACGTTAATCTTTTCTTTGTCAAATTCCATATTGGTCTTATTTTAAAAGTTCTTTTTCAATAGCATGCTCCACAAAGTGACAGCATCTCTTCTTGCGCAGAAACAACCTTAGTGCCTCTAGGTTTATTACCACTTTGTCAAGAGTAAAGACTTTAATCTGCAGATACTACTGTGTGTGTAAGATTAACTTCCTCAAGTAGATCAGCAAAAAAGTAAAGGTATAAATAAATGAGAAATCACAGACAACTATGGTGCTCAAATCTTACAGAACGGTGTTAGTGACAAATCGGCGAAAAAAATAGTTTTTGAATATTTTTGTGTTCCGATATATTAATTTGGTTTCAAAAAAAGATTTTTAAAATTTATTTTAAACTTTTTATTTTTAAATAAATTTGAATTAATTATTAAAATATATTTAATACAAATGTTACTATAAAATATTATTTTCTTAAACGTATAAATGAGATATATCTGTTACGAAGTTGTTATAGGCAACCTCAATATTTATTTATTTATTTATTTATTTATTTATTTATTTAGTCATTTTTATATAGCGCTTACCATAAAGCTCTAAGCGCTTTACAATTATTAAAAACATGTAAACTAAGTAAAATAAAAATGAGACACTAGGATAGTAACTACTATACTATAGAAACAATGAAAATGGCTATAAAACGAGGACACTTTGACACTTTTTGGCCTATACTTCAGGATCAACCCGAAACAGAAAATGAGGCAGGGCAAGGAGGGTGCATCACAGGTCATAGGCATCGTGGGATCTCTGCTAGGATATCACTCACGAAGTTGTTTTAGGCAATATCGATGTAATCATATATGCCACGACCGTGCTCTCCACTCATACGCAGAACAGAGACCATTTGGCTTTGTAATTTGTGGGAACATATTCAAAGAGATCATTAGTTTACTAGCTCATATACACACATGAGGTAAATGGGCACTCAAATGATAAAATTGTCATCCGAAATGGCTTTCATGTCAAAAAAAAAAAAACCACAGACATAAGGTTGAAAGGTGTTGATATTTAAGTATTAAATGATCGCAGCACAGGCTTTTAAGTTATGATGTCTTAAAGTAAGTTGATTTTTTAAAATGTTTATAGATATTTCTTTTCAAAATGCCTTGAATGCCCCTAGGCTTAATATTGTCAATGCCCCGGCCAAGTATAATCCCGACACGTTATGCATAGTCACGAACAAGGATGTGTAAAGTTAAAACAAAGATTTATACAAGTAGTGTGTTCTACTTGGATCAACATAACTGATACGGCTTAGCTAACAAGATAGGATTCATGTTATAATTACACGCCCTGCATAACTGTACTACATTCAACTTCTCTTAGTTCTTGTCTTATGGTTTGATAAATGAATGTGTCAGTCAGACATGTTGAACCTATTTTCAAGAAAAAAGAAAATGTGCATCTCATTTCTGAGGTTAATTGTACACATAAATATTTCCTACCATGCGATTTAAAATGTGTTGTTTGAATAAGTCTGCATGATTATGTAATTGTCGGAAAGGAATCGATTAAAAATCTCTTTTGTGATCGAGTACATCCATACAATGGCTGTTTTCTAGTCTAGAATTCAGGAGTAAATAAAAGTTTGTGTTGTAAATAATGTTTTAACCACATTCAAGTTAATCAAAATAAGATAAGCTAGCCATTTATTTATTTATTTATTATTTAGGCATTTTTATATAGTGCTTACCTTAAAGCTCAAAGCGCTTTAAAATTATTAAAAACATGTAAACTAAGTAAAATAAAAATGAGACACTAAGGATAGTAACTACCATACTAAAGAAACAATTAAAATGGCTATAAAACGAGGACACTTTGGCACGTTTTGGCCTATACTACAGGATAAACCCGAGACAGAAAATGTGGCAGGGCAAGGAGGGTGCATCACAGGTCATAGGCGGAGCTAAACAGATGCGTTTTAAGGGACTTTTTAAAAGTGGACGAGGTTTCACAATGACGGATATGGAAGGGGAGCTGGTTCCAGAACGTGGGCGCATGGAAGTAGAAGGAGCGTTCACCGATGGTCTTAGTTTTGGTTCTTGGGATTGAGAGGGTTCTATTGTCAATGGAAGAGCGTAGTTGTCTTGTGGGGATGTAAGGAAGCAACAGTTCAAAGAGTTAGACAGGAAAGTGAGGGTCAGTGAACGAGTTGAAGCATAGTTGATATCTAGCAAGCAGCAAACACTGGCAATCATGTTCCCGCACCTGACACAAGGAAACCAATGTTTAAATATATATATATTTTTTTGCTTGCCGTAAATGTTTGTGAATGTGACTGGACTTAATTTACGCACTTTTGAATATGATGTAGCAAAGCTACACTCACGTCTTTTTGGTCTCTTTGATAGGAGACGGAGAGAATCTTGAACTGGTTACATACCCTTCCGAGGGATAAAAAGATGTGTAAAAATATTAATTAATTTTTTTCAGAAATAATACTGTATTAAAATGGATAAATGTATACAATTTTAAATTAATCATGGAATGCACTAAAAAAGAAATATTACATCTGAGGGACACTTAAAAACTAAAAAAAAATATATGAAAATAAGTAGAGGCATTTCAACTAAGATGTATAATTTGAAGCCAACAATATTTTAATACACTTTAAATTAAAAATGCTAACATGCCTTTCCCTTGTTTATCTTTGATTAGCTATAGATTCATTCAATCGAATCAGTACAGAAATGGCTCAAACTCTATTTTAAAATCAAATTATATAGTTTTTATATAGATGAAAAGATAGCTTCAATGATATTTTAAATATTTGGCATTGAATTCTTTAACTAGTTAAATTAAAATGTCTCGACCATATTGATATCTTGTTGGTACCAATCTTTCACCTATTTTTACCGGTGGAAGGTGCAATAGAATAAATGAAATTACACATAAAAAATGACAATTTGAGGTCTTTTTCCTTTCCAAAACACAGTTTTGCTTTACTGTTGTACAAAAGTTGGCAGGGTGGTGGGGTTGTTACGTTGGTGTTGCTCACACAAGCAGGGAATAGCGCTTGAAAGAACAAAGTAGCGATTGAATTTAAAGGTATTCTTTAAATTTGTTATGTGCTTTATGTTTTGATTATTTAATGAATATTTCACTCTATGTATTATTTAACATGTTTTTTTTTAAATCTCTAAATTCTATAGTTCTGTTTTAGCGTCAATAGAGACAGTAGAACTTCATGTTTTTACAAATGTAAAGCATTTTTACTTTTGAATGGGGATTGAGACTTAGTAAAATCATATGTAAGAAGAATATAACTAGTTTGTGAATACCCTGCCTCTAGACAAGTTGTTATTAACATTTCTAATGCCACGACCCTTAACTATAGCTCATAATGCTCTGGTTACCGACAAAAATAAAATTATTCTCGTTGCTACATCATATATATATATGTGTTTTCCTATGTGACTTAGGCGACCACATTGTGAGAGTTAATTGACCTCCAAAGTGATCACGACCCACTGGTTGAGAACCGCTTCTTTGACAATGATAATCCGCCAAAATCATTCTATCTAAAAGTATCCAGTTAAGTGCACGTTAATGTATTTCACTTCGTATTGAAACGAGAGCTTTAAGGAGACTAATGTATAAGAGGCTACTGGAGCGGAAACTACATTAACACACCAAAGGCTGCATTCAGATGTAACATGCGATATCGATCTTTGTAAATAGAAAATAAAGAGGTTTTATACTTCCTTGTTCATTCTGTGCAAGCCTTACAATTCAAAATGAATACTAAAATTCTGTCGATAAAAAGATTAATTGTAAAATATTTAAAGGGCTAATGTCACTACCCTGTGTAAAGTTGTGAGGTTAAGGTTGTCAGGCCAAAGTTGTCTGGATAAAGTTGTGTAGCTAAAGTTTTTCGGCTAAAGTTGTCCGGCCAAAGTTTTCTGGCTAAAGCCTAACAAAAAAAAACCAACAAAACTTTTCAATAGGCCTCGGCTTTGGGGATAGAAAACTATTACTTATTATGGTGGGCTAACCCCACTTAGCAAACATCAATTTGTAATCATTCAATTTTATAAAATGTACTATGTACATTAAATGGTTTTAAAATAATCTAAATAGGAAACAATGCTAGTATCTTTTTAAAATTAAAATGCATATAGTAAAAAGCCTCATATGTATTTAAATAAATAATGACACACAGTTATATACCAGCATGAGCGTCATCCTAAAAATTACATTTCTGAACCGAAATGGAGGCCAAAGTATACAACTATAACTTTTTAGCAGTTGATTAACCAGATCATTGTAGCAACAGGGCCCAGGCATGAACATGTTTTTGTTATTGTAAACATTTCAAAACAAATTGCATTCCTTTGGCCATTAATGCAATTTTACCACTTAATTAGTTTCCTATTCATTAATTAAATGAATACCAGCATGAATAGTTAATTTTTTTGTTGTTGTTGTTATTTAAGACCACAAAGATGTCTATAGGCTTGATGTAGTTAAGACACACTCATTGTCTTATTCTGATACCGAATGCATACTACTGGCTACTAAAGATGCTGTGTCATGGATACGAATGTGTTAATTGAAAAAGAAAATATTTTCTAGCATGGTAATCTATTCCACCAACAGCCATGTAACTTGTATGCTCCAGGTAACAAGCTGTATACAGTACAGAAGTATGTTTTATTACAATCATCTTAAAGAAGTTGTTTGAATGATGTTAAATATGAGGGCAACTGCGAGCCATCTTGAATTCGTATTTTCCAAACAGTTCTACATAACAATATCTGAGAAGTGGTTTGCAAATTAAAAATATCAGGCACAGAAACATTGACAATTTCTCTAAATGCATAGGAGCCAGAATGATGCATACATTGATCAATTACCCTTACTATATAGAAAAAGACGAAGAATGCTTAGATACTCGGACAAATCGCGAACCTGTCGAACAGTTTTAGTTTGATTTTGATGTTGTTTTGTATGTTTAAGAAACTGTAATTGAGAACGGCTGTCCTCACTTAGTGTTGTGTTATCTAATTTGCATGTGATATAATGTCTATGTATAGGATGGTGTCTAAAAATCCAGTGCGTATATAGGCTTTAATTGTAAATTATTTTCCTTTAAACTTAGATTAAAGTAGCATAAAGGTTATTTATTTATTTAGGCATTTTTATATAGCGCTTACCATAAAGCTCTAAGCGCTTTACAATTATTAAAAACATGTAAACTAAGTAAAATAAAAATGAGACACTAGGATAGTAACTACTATACTATAGAAACAATGAAAATGGCTATAAAACGAGGACACTTTGACACGTTTTGGCCTATACTTCAGGATCAACCCGAAACAGAAAATGAGGCAGGGCAAGGAAGGTGCATCACAGGTCATAGGCGGACCTAAACAGATGAGTTTTAAGGGACTTTTTGAAAATGGACGAGGTTTCACTATGACGTATATGGAAGGGGAGCTGGTTCCAGAACGTGGGCCCATGGAAGCAGAAGGAGCGTTCACCGATGGTCTTAGTTTTAGTTCTTGGGATTGAGAGGGTTCTACTGTCAATGGAAGAACGTAGTTGTCTTGTGGGGATGTAAGGAAGCAACAGTTCAGAGAGATAGACAGGAAAGTGAGGGTCAGTGAACGAGTTGAAGCAAAGATTGGCAGACTTGTATTTGATGCGAGAGGATATTGGAAGCCAGTGGAGTTGCCGCATGTGTGGTTGAATGTGGTCATGTTTCTTTGATTTAAAAATGAGTCTGCATGCTGAGTTCTGTGCCTTCTGAAGTTTGTCTATGTGGTGTTGAGGAATGCCTGCGAGAAGAGTGTTACAGTAGTCAAATTTTGAAAGAATGAGTGAAGAGACGAGAGTTTTTGTGACATCAAAGGAGAGGAGGTGTCTAATGGTGCTGATTTTTCTAATTTCGTTATATGCTGATCTGCATATATTCGTGACATGTTTGTCCATGGAGAGGGTGTCTGTAAGAGTGACTCCAAGGTTTCTGAATGAGGGAGAGAGTGTGATTTCAGAGTTGCCAATAGATATAGAAGAAGGAGCGAATGGAGGGAGAGGTTTGTTTTGAGAGTGGATGAGAAGGATTTCCGTTTTATCATCATTTAGCTTCAGTTTGTTGCAAGTCATCCAACGCTTTACATCAAGTTATTGTGGCATCAAGTTGATCAGGAAAGCAGGAGTCACTGATTTGAGTGTCATCAGCAAAGGATTGACTGGAAACTGAGTGGTGGCTAATTAGAGATGATAGAGGTTTAGTGTAGAGGATGAAAATGACCGGCCCTAGGACCGATCCTTGAAGAACTCCAATAGACAGGGCTGAAGGTTTGGAAGAGTGTTTGGAAATAGAGACTGTTTGAGTTCTGTCAGAAAGATATGATTGAAACCAGTTTAAAGCTGAGCCAGTAAGTCCGAAAGAAAGAAATGTTACATACTGTACACTGTTCATCCATCTAACAAGTACCAACAATTACCAAATACTCTTGACACACGCTATACCGCACAGATACACACGCTATACCGCACACATACACACGCTATACCGCACACATACATACGCTATACCACACACATACACACGCCATACCGCAAACATACACACGCCACACCGCACACATAGACACGCCATACCGCACACATACACACGCCATACCGCACACATACACACGCCATACCGCACACATACATACACCAAAGTTGAAATGGAAACAACATTATATTTGTTTATCAGCAGATGATTGTTTTATTTCAGTGTATAAATCAGGGTGGCTGGGTGGTCAAAACAGAGCGAATCTCAATTTCATGGTCTGGAGTTCATCCCCACCAAATCCCAACCAACCAAAAACATCACCAGCACCCCTGGGTGGAGGGCATCTCATCCAAGAGAAGGCAACTCTGAATTCAAACCCGGAGATGTAGTCCCTTTGGCGGATAACGTTGACACAATGAAACAATCCGACAGCTCCTGCGACGCCCCTGGTGCCACCAAGTTGTATCATTCACATGATATTCCCTTGGGTTATCCAGCGGCGTGGAGAAAGGGCTTTTGCTGTTTAGGGAAGCAGCTAATAATCATAGGAAGAATAATCCCAGGCCACCTCATGGATTTCGTCGTGTGAAATCTAAACCATATTAACATTGGGACAGCAGAATTGTTTTTG